GGTTTGTTCGCAAAAGTTTCGACAACATTCCTTGTAGCAACGTGGCGAAAAACCCCAAATTTTTTGCCTTCCATTAACCGCTAGTGAACCAACATGGCGGTGTAGTAGGACGAAAGAGGTCGAAGAGGAGGAGGATGGCGAGGTAGACGAGAAGGAGGGAGAGGAGGAGGACGATAGAGGTTTCAGCCCAAGTACTGGTGGTTTAATGCGGAAGCCAAATTAGCCTGCCCCTCCGGTCCAAATTCATTCAAGACCCGGGGGTACAAAAATTGTGGTAGGTAAACCACAAGTACTTGGCCCAGCTAGTTTTTTCAAGCTGGGCCGTTAACGCGCCCAGCCTCCCACAATGGTTTAGGGTGACCGTTGATGAATTTCATCAGCAGGCCTGCCGAGCAGCCCAAAACCAACCCACGAAAGTCACGGTGCCGTCCTGCAGCCGTTTTCTGGGCCCAGTATTTTGTTTCGAGTCACGGAGCCATGGAGAGACCATAATGGTACGCCCACTTACTCTACCCTTTCAGCATTGCCTCTGTAGTGCACTGCGGCACAGCAAGGCGCTGTTGTTCCCCCCCCCCCCCCCCCCCCCCCCCCTCCCCTCCCCTCCCCTCTAAGGCATATAGAAGAAAAAGAAGAAGAAAAAAAAAGTACTAGAAATTAGAATCTAGAGAAAAAAAAAGTACTAGAAATTAGAATCTTGCTCCCAAATTCTAGTACTTTTTTTTTCGGCAGGTTTTGCTGTATATTTGGGTGCACGTCTGGAAGTCTGGAAGTTCCCTCAAGGAGAGCAATCCATGCTCACCGGCAGTTCTTTCGGGTGGGTCATTCTGTGCCTTCGGTTTTTTCTTTTTTTTCTTTTTCCTTCCTTTCGGTTTGTTTCCTGTTCTACTTGCAGTTATATTGGACATCCCACACCAATACATTGAGGCATTCCTTTTTTATGCGGAAGGAGAGAGAATGCCACACTATTTAGTAGTCCTACTGAGCTTGCATTGTTTTAATCGACCCAACGCCATGTCAAAAGAAGCAGCAGCGCCAGCACTTCATGTCAGTAGGGAAACCTAAAGACATATCTTGTTTCCTTTACCTACCCCTCCTAAGCCACTGCAGTAGTGGCAGTAAAGGTACAAGGACATGTCTCTGGCTTTCCCAACAGGCATGAAGGTGAAAGAACAAAGAGCGGAAAGAGACGTATCCACGTATTCTCTACCGGCGAACCAGATCAAGGCCTGGTTGAAGCAGTTGGTCCTGATTGAAACAGTTGTTTCTACCGGTTGGTTTCCTTTCCGCAACCGCGCTGCCGAAGATAACAGACCTAGCACTGGTGGGGGTGTTTTCTCAAAAAAAAAAAAAAAAAAAAAAACAGACCCCCTTGCAGTCAGATGACGTCCAGCAGGAAAGCGCTTACGTGCAAGGATGCCCTAATTATTTCTCATTTTTCACGACGAGGACATAATGCCAAATCGAATCACATTGAAGTAATAAAAACAGCGGATTGTCAGTAATAAAAAACAGCCACCAGTGCGATCGTTGGTGGGTAGTAACGACGAAATCAAATTGCAGCATGGCCCCTGCGCAAGGATGACACGTATAAATCGAGAAATGGTCCAAAAAAAAAAAAAAAAAAAAAAAAAAAAATCAAATTGCATACTATAATGAATCATCAATCATCCTAATATATAATAATATATACTGAAGTCAGATGTCAGGAATCGCATACAACAGAGGAGACACAAATCACATAGTTCAGGCACATGACGCAATGATGTGGGAGGCCGGTGGGTCGTCGCTCACATCCTGGCACCGTTTCTCAGAACATAGGGCCTCGCTGCACTACTCTCGAAATGTGCAAAACGAGAGCGAATCTTCCGCTAGAATATGGGAAGATACACCGCTATGATTTTTGTCTGTTGTGCCTGTCGAGAGTAGTGCAGTGACGCCCATAGCCACATCATGACAACTCTACGTAACATCTCTAGATAGTAGATTCTCTGCACAGTGGCATGACATCCCCACATAAATAATGATGGGCACGTCGGGTGTTCGAATCCTCCCACGGCCCGCACTACTTACCAACCCCCGACTCTGCGGCACGCCCAGCATCAACTCGCTTCACGCCGAGCAACGACCCTGCTGGTGCACACCGAGGCGGCAGCCAGGTTCTGCCTACCGAGTGCAACAGGAATACGCGCGTTCCACATAACCACTTTTTTTTCCTTTTTTTTTTTCACACGAACACAAAACAACCCCGTCTATTCTGGGGGGTACGAAACCGGTGGCTTATCACCATCAAGCAAAGAAAACATATTACGAGAACCATTCCCAGCAGGGGTACTACGGTGTCATGGGAGGCAGTCGAATGGGAGACTCCCATTGCTACCGAGTACATGGTTGCCCGGAGCCTCCGAACTTACGGGAGAGGCTCTCTCCTTTTCTCAAGTCGCCTGGAGCCATGTACTTGTGATTGGGCAAAGAAGAAGAAGAAGGAAAAAAAGGTACACATAACGTCGGTAATCAGCTTCACCTGACCCAGCGGGGGACCCACCTGGGATACCTGGACGACACCAAAAGGGCGGTCCATTTTTTCCTTTTTTGGCACTCGGGCAATTTTGCACGCACTGAGCTGTGCCCATTTATATAGCCCGACCTTCACATTTGGTGATGTCTCACCGAAGGGTGTTTATGGGGTGTAAGCAAGAGGTGCAAATAAGATTATAAGGGGCTCAACCAGACATAAAGGGGTGTGCTGTAATTTTTTATTTTTATTTTTCAAATTTCATAACGAATTTCTGGATGAATTGTTGAAATACAGACCAGAGTTCGAATCCAGATGAACGACATAAAATAATCCTGAATTACCTAGCTCAGTTGGTTAGGCACGCAAGTGGCATTCAGGAGGTTGTGGGCTCGAGCCCTGGTTTCGAGCCCCACAACGGCCTGCGGCCCACTTAGTGCCAACCGGCCGTGATAATCCGCTTCATACCTCTGAGGCTCTGATCGGTAATAGCATGGTCCTCGACTCCTTGCCCAACACGGGTGCGACTGTGAGTGTGAGTGTGAGCGTGAGTGGGTTGTGTGTGGTGTGTGAGCGTGAGTGGGTTGTGTGTGGTGTGTGGGAGAGCGTTGACCTTAGACACTGATGTTACTCGGCTGGCGGTCACCGGGAGGCGCAGCTACTGGCAAAATGCTCGGTCTTTTTTCGCATTAGCGGGAACCCCACCAGCGGCCGCACCCCATCCGTGACCACCATGGTTGGGGCATGGGGGCAACATGCATTCCCTCTGATGGCTGGAGGGAGACAACAAAAAAGCTATGTTCGCAGGGGTCCCCTGTATAAGCCTTTAATGACCCAATGTGCAAAATGATAATGAATCTTCCACTAGAACATGGCAAGACACCTCACCATATTTTGTCCTTTGATCACGTGGTGAGGACTGGGCCACCACTCTCAAAATGTGCAAAACGAGAGTGAATCTTCCTCTAGAACAAGGAAAGATACATCGCCATGATTTTTGTCTTTCGTGCATTTCCCGAGTAGTGGAGAGACGCCCTATGTCACAAAATCTGCTCATAACTTGCTGAAAGCTCAGAACAAAAGCTCGACACAATAGTCACCAAATATAAACAATGAGAACGAAGTCGTATAAAAAATGACAATGAATGCGTAAGTTGTTGTTCAGTACCTGTTCCCCAATCAATATCAATATCAATATCAATATCAATATCAATAGATGGGTAATCAACTCCCCTACGGTCAGTATCCACCAATTTGCACCCGGTCAGTATCGACCAATTTGGTGAGATAGTTACAGCATCATGCACGTCAAACTTCCTTCGGGTTTCAGTGGCGGCAAAAGGCCTACAATACTCAGGCAAACGCGACACATTACAGACAGCAACAGAAGAAGAAGGGAGAAAAGGAGAAAAAGCCAGATTGACACAACAGATCTCCCGAAGGCGACACGATAGGTTGAAATTATAAATACAACCTATCGAGCTCAGCTCGAATGTAGACGTCATGCCCGTAATCATGATAACCATAGTTGAGCAAATACCGGTGGCAACCCTACGCATTTCATCCGGAGCCGGTTCCGGAATCGTCAGGGGTCTGGCATCACGTAAGCCGAGTGACGCCAGACCAGTATCCACCAATTTGGACCCGGTCAGTATCCACCAATTTGGACCCGGTCAGTATCCACCAATTTGGACCTTACCGCTTAGTTTCAATGGCAGGCAGGGAAGCATAGCATAACAAACAGCGTACGTTCGCGCGCTTCCAGCAAATGTCCGAAAATGAGAAACTGCCATAGTTGTGAGTGAGTGGTGCGGCGAGGTCCAAACTACAAGGGCTTCGCTCCACTACCCACCACATGCTCAAACGACAGAAGTACGGCAGTGTATCTTTCCATGCTCTCTAGTGGAAGTTTCATTCTCATTTTGCACGTTTTTGGCGAGTAGTTGGGCGAGGCCCTACAGCTTAACGGTGTATCTTTCCATGCTCTCTAGTGAAAGTTTCATTCTCATTTTGCACGTTTTTGGTGAGTAGTTGGGCGAGGCCCTACAGCTTAAACCACCCGTTCCAAACTACGGCGCTTTTCTCTCTTGACGGGGGAACGGCCTGCACGCCAAAATATACAAAAACCACCACGGGCCTCCTCTAAGCTGGCGCTGCCAGCCATTTTGCTCCAGAGACCAAGCCCCAAAAGTTGGGGCTGCAGGCACGCCGCATATTTTATTCTTTGCCTGAGAAACATACTGGTAGTTTACACCACCCTCATTTTTTGTCTATTCGTCTTTTTCCCCATCGTGGATTTCTGCTATGTGCCGATGAATTTCTGCTATGCACCGATGAAAAACAAACCTGCATGGGTGTGCATTTTTAAAAATCCTTTTCAGCCTGGTGCGTCAGATACGACAAGCCCGAAATGATGTTGCGCATGTTAACGGCCACGTCGTCGGGACAAAATGGCTCGGAAAGATACTGGCGGATTTTTTATTTTATTTTTTTTAATGGCGGTTTGTTTTAAGCGAGGGACAAACTTGGTTCTACATCACAAACAAGGAGAAAAGGACAACAACAAAACACAGCACAATCCTTAAGTTTACACAGCGACTAATGGCCTCTGCTCTCCTTGTACATGATCTACATCACACGCGAAGGAGAACACTTTTTTTTTTCCCTTCAAACAATCGACAAACTTACTTCTACATCACAAGCAAAGCCATGTCCCTATATGCATCCTACTTATTCCCGTTCCAACCGCGATTACAACAACTCCAAATTGTACGAGTCATCACCTGCCCCATCAAAATTAGAAAGTTGCGTTACCCAGGCACAAGATACCTCCAAGCGAAAAAAAAAAAAAAAAAAAAAAGAAGAAGAAGAAGAAGAAGAAGAAGAAGAAGAAGAAGAAGAAGAAGATACCTCCAAGCGATCCATAATCAGTAATCACTAATAAGTAATTACACACATACCTTCCCTAGGAATTGCTTCAGGATGCTGCAACTTGTCAGCAAAATGCAATATCATATATTTTCTTATGATAACCACTTGAAACTTGAGAACAGAAACCTCCACCTCCTCTTCTTATCTTCCGCCCCCCCGGCCCTGTCAAAACAACCTCTCTCTCTCTCTCTCTCTCTCTCTCTCTCTCTCTCTCTCTCTCTCTCTCTCTCTCTCTCTCTCTCCAGATATACACACAAGGCACCCAAGGTGCTATGAATATTGATGCTGAAACCTAGTTGGAGATGCTTCATCAGAAATATTGACGCTGACTCCTCACTGACACCAAATGGAAGGGCAAACTTGAGACTGACTGCAACCATGTGCTTCCTCCCTCCTGAGCTTCCTGAATCAAACGATACCTTCGGAAAGACACGTAATCAAGTTGCGAACTTGCCATACGTTCACAACAAAAAAACGGCCGATAGATTTTTACTAAAGCCATATGTACTGCTGTTAATACTGTCTACTATTTTCATCTATGCTATACAGCCTATACTGCTTGTTATTATAACTTCATAGTACTAAGTTCATAACTCCATACGGTATAGTACATTGCTATTGTAGTCTGTACTATATAGCAAATACGGAAGCGCATACCATTTCCATAGCGTTGCGATTTTCATCTAATATACTTTATTTTATATATATACTCGATGGAGTTTATACCACTTCCATAGTCATCGATAACTACCAATAGACTAAAAAAAAAAAAAAAAAAAAAACTACCAATAGTTAGATTTGAAGATTTCATTTATCCATTCCACACAGTCACTGTGTCAGTTCGACACTATTTCCAGCCAAGGTAGGTATCACAGACATAGACGATGAGCAGAGTAAAAGGGTAGAGTAAGAGAACGGGGAACACTACCCACAACTGGAAGGTTCGGCGCGAGTAGCCCAGCGAGCCCATGATAAGGATTGCAAGCAAGATGATGACCGACTCGCTGGAGAACTCCCACGTCAGTCCGCGTACGTAAACGACGGTCAAGAAGATGCCCAGGCAGAGGGTGTTGTTCATGCTGATGGCGCCGTACACCTGGCTGAGAGTAAGGGACATGCACCGCTTCTTCTTCTTCATGGCAAAGATGAGAGAGGACACAAGCTCGCTGGAGTTGGACCCCAGAGGGGTGACAACAAATGCCACAAAGAAGGCCGGAATTCCTGACGACTTCGAGAACCCTGAGATAGACGAAACGACGGGGTCCGCAAACACCGCTGCCAATCCAGCACCGATCAGCATGTAGAACACTGCCCAGAAATAAACTTGCGCAGGGGTCATCTTCTTCCCTTCCTCTTCTGTTTCCTCCTCTTCCTCATTAACCATCTCTACGAGCTCTGAATACACAAGCCTTTGCCGCTCAGCTTCAGCCGCCCAGAATTCAGGCCGATGCATGTGCTGGAGGGCACTTTCACGGTCCGCCTTCCGTTTCTGCACCACACACCGGAATAACGCAGTATACATATATTAGAGTCCAATACAAGACAAAATAAGGTACTATAAGACGGAACAAGATAACATAAAGACAAAATAAAGTGCCATAAGACGGAACAAGATAACATAAACACAAAATAAGGTGCCATAAGATGGAGCAAGATAACATAAACACAAAATAAGATACTAGAATAAGACGAGATAAACGTAGGACAAGATACCATACAGTAAGACAAGAAAACATGAGATTAAAAATAAAAATAAAAATACAAAAAACATGAGATATGGGGCCTCGCTGCACTACTCTCGAAATGCACAAAAGACAAAATTCATGGTGGTGTATCTTTCCATCTTCTAGCAGAAGATTCACTCTCGTTTTGCACATTTCGATAGTAGTGCAGCGAGGCCCATGTCCAAGGTTACAATACGATAAGACAAGACGACTCAAAACAAGACAAGACAAGATGAGACAAGATGAGATGAGACGAGATGAGACTAGTAGACGAGACGAGACGGCAAGAGAAGAAAAGAGGAGAGGAGAGGAGAGAAGGAAAAAGAAAAAAGAAGATAAGACAAGATAAGATGAGATAAGAGAAGATGAGATAAGATGATATGAAGATCCCTTGGACGCACTGCTTAAACCACCACTACCTTTCAGGCTGCGACACTAAGTCTCAAAAGTAGCCCCTACTCCGCATTCTTCGGAGGCCGGTGGAGGCTGGGTGATACCTGACCACAAAGGCTGGTGGCGCCAGCCAAAAGACATAAAAAATCCTGCGCTGGCACTTCGGCACCCCATTGGCGCACAGTGACATTCCGATCGGCAAAACGAGGATCGGAGTTAGTCGTGGTCTAACTTCGAATTTAATATTTATTATAAGATACATATTCAGATCGATAAAGATACGATAAGATAAGATAAGATAAAGAGGATTAGATAAAATAGCATATGATAGGGTATGATACGATATGATGCGATATAATCCGATTTGATACGAATACAATATGGTATTCTACGATATGACATGATACGATACGATGCCTTGAACATACAGCTCTCAAACTTCAAATTTATATGCTGAACATCACTGAATGATGAAAACGACGAGTTCACAGATGACTACTGCCGCCATCTTGGTGTTTACACTAAGCACCACCCTCATCATGACCATACAACGATGGTGCGTCCTATCCACACACACACATAACAGTGAGACAAAAAAAAAAAGGAATTTCCCGGAAGAATGGGGCATTAAGTTCCATTAACTTCATTAGTACTTCTGGCAGGTTGGCATGAACATGCACCCAACAAAAAACTATGGGCCTTGGGTGACCACTTGCCACTGTAGCCATTTCACGAGTAGCATCGTCGCTCGCTCCACCGCTAACTACCATGGCCCTTTAGGGTGACAGAAGTAGGATTTCTGAAGGGGGGGGGTTCATCACCCGCATGCTACAGCCCCGGAGCTCCCGTCTTCACCCAAATAGAATGCCCGATCTCTATAGCTCCCGTCTGTGTTTGGGCCAACTTGCAGTCCAGACACGGCTATGATGACCGTTAGTTCTATTCGGGTGATGACGGTAGCGTTCATTTTGGAACAGAGATTTGACCATAGGAAAGCGTTATGAGCAAGGCCGCTTACCTTCTCCAAAAATTGAGCAAGCGATGGTATAAACTCTGCCTTTGTGATGTGTTTGTCGGAATCGACGTCCATAGCTTGGAAAATATGGCCTGCCCTCTCGTCCGCGTTGAAATCAGTAATGTCTGGTGCCAGTCCCACAAGTAGCGCCCTCACCTCACTCTGCCAACCACAGGGACAAACGACAAAAAAGAACACAAGTTTATCAGTCAGTTGACGCCAACACGAACAAGCCAGTCGAGCGGAACCAAAAAAAAAAAAAAAAAAAAAGCTGGTCGAACGATCGGCCGACGACTTGACACCAACAATTTACGCTTGGTGCCTTCTTCGTGGGAGACTAGGTTTCGGACATGATCCCTATCCAATGCATCCATCATTCATAATATCATATCATTCCATGCAAAGTTGCAAACACGAAGTGCAAAAACAGAAGAGCTGCCCCGACGTTGCTCACAGAAATTAAAAGGCCTACATAAAGTTGAAACGGTATTCACCACTTCGCAGTAGCCGATGCAGATCCCAGGACTCGATCCCTACCGTCTTCACCCGAATAGAACGCCCGGTCATTATCACTGTGTCTAGACTGAAAGTTGCACCAAATACAGCTATAATGACCGGGCGACGGGTAGTCCCCACCTTACCTGTGTACAGTATCTGTGTCAACCCCTACAGTCTTCCCCCGAATACAACGCACCGTCATTATAGCTGAATTTAGACCGAAAGGTACACCAAATTCAGCTATAATGACCCTACGTTGTATTCGGGGGAAGACTGTAGAGTTGAACCCGTGACCTGTGTATCTGTAACAGTTGGCAGGTTGTCGTAGGGTCCATAGGTAGCAGGGGTTCGATCTGTAGACCTGTCGAGTAGGAGTCTCAGTCAGGTCTAGAAGTCGTAGCTGTAGCTTTCTCGAAGGGTCAAGGTCGTAGCTGCTACAGTCCAGAAAGGTCAAGGTCGTAGCTGCTACAGTCCCGAAAGGCCAAGTCTACGGCCTTCCGGAAGGTCCTAGTAGTGGCCTTTCGAAGTGCAGAAGTATAAATCAAGAGGCAGCGCCCAACCATTCATTCATTCCTGCGTGAGCAGCGCTGCCACAAGCGACTTGTGCGAGGTGGTCTGCAGTGAGCCCAAGGACGAAGTGGGCAAGAGAGGAGCTTAGCCATAGCGATAGGGTAGTAGCGGCCATAGCCGCCATAGCTGGAGGTAGAGTTCAGTGTATGTGTGTGTGTGTGTGTGTGTGTGTGTGTGATCAGAGTATCGCGTGTGGGGTATCCAGGGTGATCCTGTGTATGCGAACAGAGAGTTGTGTGGGCGCTGGGTCGCCGTGGCCATCGAAGTGAACTTGTATCTGATACGTGTTCTCGGTTACCATATCTCCGAGTTCTGAGTGGGCGCTTGTCGCCAGTTTGCTGCGCACCTGTTAGCATCCATGAGAAGTGTGAATGAGAGCGAGTCTGATTGCAAAGTAAAAGCTCAGAGTTCACAGAAACGGCAACGTAAAATCCACAAGAGTCGTCAGAGGAGAGGAGAGCTATACAACATACAAAATTTGAATAAGTCTACACGAGGCAACAGATATAAAAAGATTTATTAAAACGAGTCGTCAACAAGTTCGCAGATACAAAATTGAATAAATCTACACGAGGCAAGGGATATAAAAAGATTTATTAAAAGGAGCCATCAACAAGTTTGCAGAGTGGCTGTGGAGGGAGGAGGAGGAGGAGGAGGAGGAGGAGGGGGGGAAGAGCAGGGAGTTTGGATCGCATCCATCAAGTGGGAGGGGGGACAGAGAGGAGAGGTCGAACAAGGCCTGGCGGTGAGAGATTATGAGGTGCAATTTCCCCAGCTCCACCGCAGTCAATCGACGTGACACATTCTCACTACGACCAACCTCGGAGTTCCCAGACTTTTTCCTGCCCCATGCTTCATTGACGGTGGACTTGCATTGTGTGTGGGGTATGGGAGGGACTACACCTTCCGGTCTTCTTCAGACGGACAGGAGCTAATAACTATACACAAAACTTGGCAGCAGGTCTCCATTGGAATGCGCTGAAGAGGCTGGTGTTCTATGAGACATCGTCACGGTTTAGTCCAAGACACAGGCTGAAGAGTGAGTTTTGTTTTGGGGGGGGGCTTGTGGCAGCACAAATGAGTCCGAAAAGGGCAACAAAACATCATGCGGGCAACAAACTCGCGTGCCGAGTTTGGAAGGGCAACAAAAAAAGCATTTCTACCGGCGCGCCGAGTTTGAAAAGGGCAATAAACTTGCGCGGAGAGTTTGAAAAGGGCGGGGACCGGAGGGGAGGCACAGTGACTGGCCCATCGAAGAAGCTCGGTCCTGATGCTACCGGCTGACCTCTGGCCGGTACCGCCCACCTGCTGTAGCAGGTATCGCACCTGCTGGTGCGTGCAGCTCCCGCATGTTCCATCGCTGGAGGCTTGAGCACGGATGTGGCTGCTACGGGGTTCCCCGTAATACTAAAAAATGACAATAAAAAAGGCCTGAAAGGCCGTCCTGTCCAGATTTGACAGGTAATTGAATTGGTTGGGCTTAAAGAATTAGCGTTAAAAAAAAAAAAAAAAAAAAAAAAGGGCAACAAAATCATACTCGGTCCACAGCCATTTTTACCCATATCGCCCTTTTCAAACTCCACACCCGATTTTGTTGCCCGCACATGTTTTTTTTGCCCTTTCGGAACTGAAAGTGTCACACTGCCGGAATTGTTCCTTTTTTTTTTCTTTCTTTTTTTTTGTTGATAAAACCAGCCTCGGAGAACCAGGCGGAATGAAGAGGCAGATAGTGATCAGATATCGTCGCATTTTACCGCAAGGCACTGTGGGCTAAAAAATGTGAGGTTGGGATGCAGTGAGGGTGCGCATGCAGAACGATTATGCAAGCGGCGATGCCGGCGATGCTGGACCCGGGCCCGAATCCCAAATCCCACTTACCAGAATGATCGATTTCAGACCGCAGATTTGGGAAGATCAACGACCAGAAATCAAGGATCAGTGTAAGTGGGACTTGGCCCCGGGTCCAGTAGCGGGTCAGAAATTGAGTACAAACGTTTCTAGTCGGATGAATTTGGACGCTCCTGTAGCGGCCTGTACGTTTCCTAAAATCCTGGCTAGGCCTCGTGGATTTGTTAAACCACCAGTCCTTGAACCAGCTATCGGCCGCGGGAAAACATAGTCTAGAAACATTTCTAGTCGGATGAATTTGGACGCTCCTGTAGCGGCCCATACGTTTCCTAAAATCGTGGCTTGTATACGGGCACGACCTCAGGAGAAACTTGTGGTTTAAAGGGGGGAAAAAGAAAGAACAAAAGAGGAGAGCTACATGCAGCTATCAGAAATTACGACAGTTGAAACATAAAACTCCTTCCAATTTGACATCTGAGTCATGCTCTGACACGGCAACATAAAATCCACAGGCGAGTCCAAGGCAAGGAAAGGAAAGCTACATAAAACTCCAAGAAATGACAGCAATAGGAAGCCTGATGGAAGGGCAGAATTCAAATTACACTGATCCGAAAGTCTTCCAACTCTAGTATCTGTTCTGCACTTGGGATCAGTTTCATTTGAAATCTGCCCTTCCATCAGGCTTCCACACTTTCCCTTCTATCCATTCAGCCGAGTGTCATGCATGAACCTCATCCATCACTTAGTGCCTAGCTCCACCACTCACCAAATGTGAAAATGAAAATGAAAATGAATCTTTCCTTGGAACAAGGAAAGATGCACCCCCATCATTTTTTTTATTTTTTTTTTAATACCCGAAATCCTTAGGGGTGGTGATACGAGCATCCCCCCCTAGGAGGTTTCCTGGTTGCTCCAATCTATTGGTGGGGAGCCACACCTGCTGGAAACCCGGTCCAGCCTCCCATCGTACATCAAGCAGTCAGTAGACTCAGTACAGCAGATTTTTGTCTTAATTTTGTACACATTCCATATTTTTCATGTATATAAGGGATGCTGGACCCGGTTTCCAACAGGTGATGCTCCCCACCAATAGATGGAGCGGCCCCTTAGAGGGAAAAAAAAAAAAAAAAAAAAGTACAGCATTGATTAGTACTCTGATACTCAGGGTATTAACTGCGCAGGGGTCGGGAGAAAAGGTGGTCACGTCACCCCTACTGCGGTCTTTTGTGCATGTGGCAAGTGGTGGAGTCGGGGCCCTACAGTCACATCACCAAAAGAGTTTTGAAAAACCGCATCGCATCTATGTGATTCTATCATTCATTCATACCACCAAACATTATTCGTCGTAGTACTCTATTCTCTTTTTTTTGTTTGTTTGTTTGTCCTTCTGTTTTCATGTCAGTACCGCTGCGAGGCTCCACCAGAGTTTCCTCTGGCCACTCCCTGCACAGACATAGGACTTCACTCCACTACACAACACTTTTATGTATCTGGAACTGGTAATCGTCCCAATACATTACGAATGTTCCTTCTCCAAATGCACCTCGTCCACAGGAGTATTGAGTAGTGTAGCGAGGCCCATAGTTCACCATCTTTCGGGTCCCGGAAGAGTTTCAAGTGCACCTCGTCCACAGGGGTGTCCAAGTGCATCTTACTCTTCCGAGTGCACCTCGTCCACAGGGTTGTCCCAAGTGCATCTGGAGTCCTGGAAGAGTTTTGTAAAGAAACCGTCTACCATTTATCCATGGGCCTCGCTCCACTACTCACCAAATGTGCTAAATGAGAACGACTCATTCGCTAGAACATGGAAAGATACATCGCCATATTTTGTCTTTCGTGCATGTGGAGAGTACTGGATCGAGGCCCCACATTGCACAATCATCATTCCATCCTCACAGTTGCAGCATTAATTTAAAATTGTAAATGCTTCTCAAAAAACAAACCGAACTTGCGCTGTTGTTATTACTTCTACTGTACCCATATACAGTCAACGGGTAATACCGTACTAATACCCTTATTTGTCCAAAGGGTAATACCCTACTAATACCCATATTTGTCAGAGGGTGACCTACTTTCTCAATAAAAGCTTTGTTCCTGTACTTGGACTCCCCATTTGTCTGTGTACATGATTTTTTTTTATTTTTATTTTTTTCACCTCTACCAGAATTTACATACAGAATTTGGAAAAAAATTCAAGAAAGCGGATTCCTATACGATGAGCGAAGGAGGAGGAAACACCACACCCTCCCTTCTCATGATGGCAGTTGGTAGAGCGACCCGGGAACTTCCCTCATTCGTATATTAACGATTGCCGTACCAATGAGAAAGAAGGGAGGGTGTACAATTCATCACTTAACCGTGTCCGTATCGAGTACGCGTGCAGTGTCACAGTGGTTATCTTACGAAATATATCAAGTACGCGTGCAGTGTGGTTATCTTACAACGAAATATGCTTCTTTGACTTGAAAGTTCTTTCTTCATAATTCCCCCTCAGACGCTTTCCTTAGCGAGAACATTAACCCAAAAGAAGAACCTCTGCAGGGCCGTCTGCCGCACGCTTGGCTGGGTGTGGTTATCTTACAACGAAATATGCTTCTTTGACTTGAAAGTTCTTTCTTCATAATTCCCCCTCAGACACTTTCCTTAGCGAGAACATTAACCCAAAAGAAGAACCTTTGCAGGGCCGTCTGCCGCACGCTTGGTGTTCGCCAGCCGAGATGGTTGGCTAGCCCTCCCTAGTTGATCTTGGCAGGGTCCTCCCTTGTTCTCCGGGAGGCCTTCGCCCCTGCCAATCCTAGCTGGGGGTTTGTTCAAATAGCCCGTAGACTTTGGTTTGCCACACCAGTGTTTGGTAGATGTAGCTCTGGCTACAGTCTTCCCCCGAATACAACGTACGGTCATTATAACTGAATTTGGTGTATCTTTCAGTCTATATTCTTTAACGACCGTATGTTGTATTCGGGGGAAGACTGTAGGGTGAAGTACAAACGCCCGGTCCAGATACAGATATAATAACCGGGCGTTCTATTCGGGTGAAGACGGTAGGCCCCTGCTTGGTAATAGTAACTCTGGTTAGCACCTGCGTGGTAGATGCAGACCAGGCCTGGGTAGGTAGATGTGGGTAGGCACTGGAAGGGATACCCGAGAGAAGATTAGATAGCTTAGTTTCGGAAAAAAAAACGCAAAAAAGGAAAGATGGGAGGCGAAGAATTTCAGGTGGGGCGGGCCGGGGAGAGGAGAAATAAAAAAGAGATTTCGGGGGCAAGTGTTAACTGCTGTCCCAACTAACAAATGCACACCGGCATTTCTAACTGAGCGCAGAGGCTTGCTTCGCTCTACGCCCTTTCCACCCTCTCCCCCCCCTCCCCCCTCCTCCTCTTCATCTCTTTGGCACCCACTGATAGTTGTTACAGGTTGACGACAACAAAATTTCCAAAAGAGGAAAGAGCAACATACCCCATTCAGACTGCCATTCCCATCTGTATCTGCTTTCTCAAACAGTTTCTCGATTGCCTCCAGGTTAGACTTCCCATCAGGATGGAGGAGACCGCCAAAGGTCTTCGCAAATACAGCGATGTCACGGACGAACTCGTGATGCACCAAGTCAAGCCTTGCTTGCTGAATTTTCTTCTTCTGGAGAATGGGATTTGCAACCTGGGAACGACAACAACAACAACAACAACCACAAGATACCAGACTATTAAAAATAGAAAAGGAATGTGTTCTGATGATGTCTAGTGCGTCCGAGTGACAAAAGCAGCAGCAGCAGCAGCAGCAGCAGCAAGCATAGGAGTATCAGGTTTTTAAGAGAACCTGCAGCTGGGCAACGAGCCGGCTGCCTGGGTACCCATGCAGACCAGGCAGTGTCTCAGGCAGTCCCAGCGCAGTATATTGAAAAAAATGGAAAGAAAAGGAAAAAAATTCAAAGAGTTATTTTTTATGAATTTGCCTTTTTCATTCCTTTTTCGATTTGTTTTGGACATCCGTAAGAACTGGAACAAGACAATATAACTTTAAAATATATATATATTTTTTTTAACCACCAGTACCTCCGAGCCTGTTTTTGCCGACCCTGATTTTCACTGCGCTCCGAGTTTTGCCGAGCCTGGGTCCCACTCCATTTCTTTATGGTACTCTCACGGGAAAAAAAAGAAAAAAGAAAAAAGAAAAAAGTTGCGGCCGTGAAAACTCACAAAACAAGAAAAAGAAACAAAGCTCTGGACGTGATTGCAGCTGTATACATTCTCGTGAGATTGGAACCACTTTCTAAGTTTGAGATAATTCAATAAATAGAACACAAGGGTTTGAAGTGTGAGCTCCTTTACAACCCGTTCGTCATTTCATACCCCCCAAAACATCCCTGGGGTGACCCAACGATACCTTGGAAGGCTCCCTCAAGGAACCAGTACATGGCCCCAGCCAAGTTGAGAGTCCGACTGAGCCTCTCCTAAAATTTAGGAGGCTCCCGCGCCGTCGATCATATAAATTGACGGTGGCCGGCCTCGTAAAGGGCCTGTGGCCCATGGCTGGCATGTACTGGTGGTTCAAGGCCGGATATCGACTCCTCAGGCCACGTGCAGTCCCCTGCCTTGAAGTCAGAATTTTTTTTTTTTTTTTTTTTAAACAAAACCCCTTTTGTAAGGCCACTATCCCCGCAGTGGTAAGAGAACCACCGTAATTGAGGCCTTGGCTGTTGGGCTGCTCCATCTACTGGTGCAGAGCGACACCTGCTCGAAATCGGGTCCAGCGTCCCTTTAATACATCAATGCAGATCAATGTTTCGGCTATACTACCGCTATATTCCGGCTATACTACCGCTATACTACGACTATTCTATTCTATTCTACTCTGGAGTCCCCCAGTTAGTTACCACTTTTTTGAAGTTTTTTCACCTGCCCAGTTTGCCCAGGTGGGTGCTGCCCCCCCTGCCTGCGAGTCCTGGGCATGCGGTCTGCGTAGATCTCAAAGGCATGTGGGGGAAAGAAAAAGGAAAAAAAAAAGAAAAGTTGCGTCACTTGGTAAGGGGACGATAATCATTATCATTCGGCATGTGGTGTGTGGGAGAGGGTTGGCGTTAGACAATACTCTTATACACATCTAGATGTGTATAAGAGACAGGCGTTGACCTTAGACACTGATGTTACTCGGCTGGCGGTCACCGGGAGGCGCAGCTACTGGC